CACCACCACCACCACCACCACCACCACCACCACCACCACCACCACCACCACCACCACCACCAGAAACTGGTTTAATAGGCAAATTTTGAAGGAATCATGCTTTGTCTGGACGATACAAGATACCCTCATAAGTGTTTGGCAACTTGTGCAGTTATTTGAGCCTGGTTAGCAACCGATGTCGATGAAGGCTTTGCCCAGTCCGCCAACGATCTGTTTCAATGTTGTTTATAGTCCATTCGTGGCTCATTTTCACTTATAATGTGTGTGATAACATCTGGTTGAAATTGATCCAGTTAATTTTTGAATAGATGAACTTGGTGAATAATTGTCAAGTGAAAAATGAACAATGAAATTAAAAAGGGCATCATGAAATTTGGATGCATTTAATTCCCCCACCCAGATACGCATTTGGGTCATCAGCCGGCAAACATGACCTTGACCTTGTGGTCACCTCTGGCGGATAACTCATCCGAAAGACTAACATGTAATTAAATCACAACCATTGGCCTGTCTTGATGTCACCCAATTAATTAATGCATCAACCTAGGCTTCAGAATTAAGTCGAGTTTAAGAGATTTTACTTGAAGACTCCTGAAATTCCATTTTGAATGACCTCACTGTTGTTGTGGGGGGGGGGGCACTGGACAACTGATCAACCGTTGTTTATGTCCTATCCACCAAGTTCTAACACAGATGCCTGCATTCGGCACGAATTACAGCCCAAGGCAGGCGACTGAGAGGTGCCCTGCCTTTCGATTTTCATTAGTTTAGCTTAGTGCGCGCGGAAACACAAAGTGTGTCCAGTCTGTGTGTGTGTGTGTGCCTGCTGACAGGGCAAATTATTTGTCATTAGTCAAGTTAATTAGTCTCGGGAAACAATTTGGTGGTGATTTCGACTGCAGATGGGTGCGAGTTTTGGTGCCGACAGTGTAGAATGTCACCCTCTCCAAAATCGATACATTTCAGCTGCTGTGATTAGTGTTCCGCAGTCAGCAATTTAGTGAAGTTGTGTTCGCGGTAAAATTTTGGAAATTCACGACGCTTCTCACGCATGACTGGTCGCCGGGTTTATGCACGCTCGGGATCCCTCGCTGTTCCACTTTGACCCCACGGCTAACCATCGTACCATGTCCCTGTGCACGCGCTTACCCCCGGAATAATCAGCCCACAGTCTGCGTAAACACGTCTGTAACACAGGCCCAGTTGCGGCACCCTCCAGATCAATAAATACACATGAACGACCAAGACTGAGGACACTATGACTCAGCTTCGACTTTGCTGGGTGCTAGATTGGGCCAAAATAATTCAGTTGCCACAGTATGGAGAAACGTACAACTAGAGTTCACATTCGAGTTATTTGTTTAAATTAACTACGTTGATTTACGGAACTGGTGGGGGGGGCATTAGTTTGGTGAGTCAGGCGGCTATTTCAGACATCAAAAATTAGGCGAACTTCACACCTCGTCAACTGAGTGCTTCTGCCGATTCGGAGTACTTAGAAAATGGCCTTCTGCGCCAGATTCAGTTACTGCCCCTTCATCCAGCTCGTCTGGATGTTAAACCTCCAGGTTGTGACTACCCGCCATGTCTTCTTAATGAGGCAACTGGAATGAAATTTGGTTTAGCCGGGAGTTTAGTTGTACTTAGGCGTGGATTGTTTGCTTCAACTTGAAAAAAAAGCCTTTTAGTGAGTCGTGAAATTTACGACGAAAAACAGTCTAGATTAAAGACCACACTCCCAAACGGACCAACCGAATCGCACCTTCGTGTGTGCGTGTGTGCAGCTTCAAAGGAAGCGCCGTCCACAAAGTGCGTGCACGCCCAGATGTGCATGCCGACAACGTCGGCGAGCCTACGTCAAGCCCTTTCGCACGTCGCCAACGCACCGCGCACACACAAAGTGACGACCCACCTCGCCAGCTAATTCGTCAACGGGCAGCCAATTATCATCGAACTGAAAGCCTATTGGTCGACTTAGAGTGCGCGCTGAATATTCACGCTTCTGTGGAGGTTTGTCGGCAAATGTGTCAACGGACTTGTCTTCCTCTCGTCTACTAAGCTTCGGTTGGCGTGCCTTCTGCCTGATTCTTTGGGTTTTTTTTCTCTTCTCACTATGATGGGCAATAATGCGTGCCTATTTGCCGTTCTGCTATTGGTTGTGGTTTCTACTGCTGGGGAATCAGAACCCTTCCATGGACTGAAGAAGCCGCCAAATTACCACGACGATGACGACCAAGCTCAGTGCACACCAATTCGTGAACCCGTCTGCCAGGGCCTTCAGTACACCCACACGAAAATGCCTAACTGGGTAAAAATGACTTCACAGGAGGAAGCAGCCAAACGCATGATTGACTACAAATCACTGCTGAACATTAACTGCTCCCACTACCTCAAACTCTTCCTCTGCACAATCTACTTCCCCATGTGCACTCAAGTGCTGGAGAAATCGGCGCTCAAACCATGCAAACCCCTGTGCCTTCACGTGCGTCGCAGATGTGAACCGATCATGCAACAGTTTCAGTTCAGTTGGCCTGCAGAGCTGTCGTGCGACGATCTTCCCGAGTCACCGAAGCTTTGCATCGAACCAGACGGATACGCTCTTGACACCCAAAAACCGGTACTCCCTCCAGCCTCCGCCAACATGGCCGGTGGTTCTTTGGCGTCGCTACAGAGGATGTATCCTCAGCTGCACGATCTCTTCGTCAAAAGACGCCACGGGACGCCTAACATCGACTCACTGATCCAGGCGGCTGCTGCCGCCGACGGCGGCAACATTGTCTTGGCCAGCGAAGCCAACAGAGGATGCTCAGCCGCCGAATTCCCTGCCACGTACTTTTCAAATGACACGTGCTTGACCTACTGCGGTGCTGATCTCTATTATCGCCCTGCGGACAAGAAATTTGCTCGTGCTTGGCTCCTCGGTTGGTCGATTTTGTGCGTCGTGTCTTCTGCGCTCACCTTCCTCACGTTCATTGTGGACAGGTCCCGTTTGCAGTACCCCGAACGTCCGGTACTTTATCTAGCCGCGTGCTATTTCGCAATTGGTGTTGGCTACATCCTTCAGTATGGGCTAGGTCCTGAGGTGGTCACGTGCCGCTCCGTCCAATCCAGCGACAGCAATACGGTGGAAACACAAAAATACCTCTTGACAGGCGGACAGGAGAGTACCTGGTGTACTGTGGGGTTCCTCATTTCCTACTACTTTGGAATGGCTGGCAATTTCTGGTGGGTGATGCTGAGTCTTGCGTGGTACCTCTCCACTTCCCGCAAGTGGGGCCACGAAGGGGTTGAATCGGTAAGCAGTGTCTTCCACATGTTCGCTTGGGCGCTGCCCGCAATTCAATCCATCCTTGTTCTGATTCTGCACAAAATTGACGCCGACGAACTCACGGGCACCTGCTACACGGGCTTCCACAGCGAAACTGCCCTCATGTTCTGCGTGCTGCTTCCACAGGCCGCCTCCCTCATTCTGGGTCTCCTTCTGTTGAGTGTAGGCTTCGCTGCCGTTTTTCGAGTGCGTCGGAAACTCAAAACGCCAAGCGACCGAGAACGCGAGAGCCGGCGTCGTCTGGAGAAGTCCATCGCGAAACTGGGCGTCTTTGTTGTGCTCTACACCTTCCCGATGGCGTGTCTGTTGGCGGGGAACTTGTATGAGTACTTGGGTCAGCCTCGGTGGCGTGCGGCTCTCCGAAGGCTTGATTTTGCTCGGCCACACTGCCTTTCACCGAGGGGTGTGGCCTGGGGCATTCCCGAGTGTCACCCCGATGATTCACCGTCGTCTGAGGCGGCGATGTTGCGGATTTTCATGTCCTTTGTGGTCGGAATCACGTCGGGGATGTGGGTGTGGGCCAACAAGAAGACCTTCGTCAGCTGGAAGCGCGCGATCTGCCGAGAGAGCAAGCGTCATGGAAGTCGCCATCGGCGCGGCTCCTTCGGCAAGTTCGACCGGCCCAATCTCGGCGCAACCAACGCCTACCACACCCCCACATTCGATGCTCCCGCCAACCCTCCACCCCCGTCTGTCGAAGCGTCAGAGGTGGATCGTCCCGGTGGGGTCTTTGTGTCGGATTCGAACACAATCTTCTCGGCTTCAGCTGTGGGTTATTCCTCGAGTGGGTGCCAGTCCTGTCGAATGTGTCCTCCGTCTGCTGCCGCTGCTGCTGCATCCACAGATCTAACTGCTGGCGGATACTCCTCGGTGTCACCTCAACCGGGCCTGGAAATGTACGGCGAGTGTTACATGCACGCCAATGCCTGCCAACACCTGAATCCCCACCACGACCAGCGTTTCCACCATCGCCACCATCACCAAAGCTTTCCTTTCCAGAACGGTGCCGGCGCAGGAGGCGGTGCCGGCATTGCTCCCCTCCTTCACCGACCTCCGACAAGTGAGTGCGTGTAAGTCTCCGTCGCATCCTCAGAACAGTCTTTCAACTTCCCTTACCCCCCTGCCCCTCCAAACTCGTATCCCACTTCTGCAATTAATGCCGCTACCTCGCACGCGCACAACCTCACAGCCTATTCGGTCAGCTATGTTGTCCGACAACCATAAGACATTACGGAGCTGAACTTTGCATTTAGCCTGAAACCAGCCCTGATTCCCCACTCCCCTCACACCCTCCTAAGTACCATTTCTTCGTATGTCTTAATCTTAACCTATTTGACTAGACTACGCGTATGTTTCTTTTTATTAGCATTAAACAGCCGTCCCACTGACACCTGCCTCCGCCTATTTTGCTTCGTGTTGCCTTGAGCGAGTGGTCGGAAGGTTAGGGCTCTCCAACACGTCAGCTGTTGGTTGATAGACCTCGCTAGTAGGTTAGAAGGGGGGCGTGGGCGCATCGCTTGACGGCGTGTCTTCACACTTGACCTGGTGAACACGCATCGACCTAAGTAGGTTCCTCCCCCCCGCCTCCGCTGGTAACGCTGGGGTCTCGGGGCGGGAATAAGGCGCGCGTCCTGGTAAATGCCACGGAGTTACTGAGGGCTTCAAACACTCACGGTGTTGCCGCGTTCTTTGATGTCTGCATCGGATTTAACACCGATTTTTGCAATTCCCAGACTTCTGGTTGCATGGTGGCGTGAACACTACCGTTCCAAATAGGTATGGTGTCTTCCAGTTTCAAAATATCGGAAATCCAACTGTAGTCGACGGTCTGTGGGCGTCTTAGACGCCAGCGAAGTTAAGCATAACCGCAACAGTGAAGCACTTCTTGTACACATCGACGTTGGCAAGACCAGGAAAGGATTGTGAGTCAGTCAGCACTGATGAGAAAAATAAAATATTTAATGCAATTTAGCTCACCCCAGTTTTCTGCCGCCCCGTCAGTTCCCCCGGCACAAGCGTGTCGATTTTAAGTCACTGACTTTCGGACAATGCTGGAGGTCACACCTGAGGCGCTGGGCAGCAACCACTTTGAAGATATTCCGTGCGAAGACACTGATTTTCGACTTCGGCGTGCGTTGCTTCGTCGCGTTCATTCGAAACGTCCAATCCATGCCGTTTTTTTAAATTTCCGCCAACTGTCTGTTTTGACCCAGCAGACAGCAGGTGCAGCTGGAGTTGATCTAGGGCTTGTTGATGCGAATCCGAAGGTTCGAAACAGCTTCCTGAACACAGATCCGGATTGAGGGATGAGCGGTACCTTGAAGCATAAACAGTCACCTTTCCTTGGCACTTTCGCATACTACTGATTAAGTTATGAGTAGACTCACATCGTTTTGGACCTGGGGGTGGGGGAAAAGGTCTAGGACAAGCAAGATGGAGGTCCTCAGTCTCGTGCCGGTTAACTTTCTAATTCAGCCTGAAGAGGAAACCTGCATGTCTCCTCAATGTTGCTCAATTCGGATCACCTCATCTGCACAATTCCAGTTGGTGTGGCCTAATTGTGAATTCGCTGGTGAAAATAGAAACACACCTCAAGGACAAACATGCTTTCAGCTTCCCTTCGTATAGACAATTGCGAGGACTAGGATTTTCGTGGTTATGCGCGATCAGCCGCTGCGCAAACAACTGTTGGTAATTGTATGCACAAGGCTAACGTCTGAGGTCACGTAGTGGTCCTATCGGGACCTCGTTAGAGTTGCCATTCATTAAACCTTCACACACGCTGATAATGCGCGGTTAGTTTGATAACGGAGTAAAATTAGTGATTCTGAAGAGAACTGGGTTACGTGTAAATTACGTGTGTGTGTGTGTGTGTGTGTGTGTGTCGGAATGTAATTTTTTTTTATGGCGAAACGTCGCTACATCACACAAAAAAGCCGACTTCGCGTGAATCTTCGACCGCACGATAACACAAGGCGCTTGGCGGACGAGGGAAATGCTTTGTCGACTTCTTTTCTCTGCAGAGCCGCGCATTATGCACAAGACACGGTTTAAATTCACACCGCTGGTTGCGATTTTGCACTGAAGCGGTCTTCTTTGGTTCTTTTAATCGGGACTTCATTTCTGAGGGTGTTTCGTGTTCGGCTGCAATAATTAAATCCAACTTGAAGGCGCTTAAGTTACGTGGAGTAGAGGATTTTATACAAAGTCGAGTTTTTGTAGACAAGTAACGTGCACGTATTCAGACTTTTCGCTATAAAAAAATTACATTCCCACATACCTACACACACACACACACACACACCATCTACATGTGAACCGACTTGCTTCGGGAAAGTAAATTTTGCCCCGCTATCAAACTAACCATGTATTATCAACGCACCGTTATTAAGCCGTCTGTCATGACCTCCACGTGACCTTGTGAAGTGGCCAATTTCTCGTAAAATATCGTTTTTTACGAAAATTATGAAAACCGTGAAAATTATGATTTTTAAATACTCTCCCCCCTCGGGACACATTAAACTGCCTTCAAACTTAAATGTACTGGAATTATGCAGAGTAGATGTACTTTAAAACCCAACAAATGATGTGGTTACTTGGTGAATTGATTTTATTGAGTAGGTTGTAGATACGGTAAGCACTATTGTCAAACTTCGCCAAAAATAAAGCCCTAGTGAAGAGATTTGGAGGCAAAGCTGTCATAGTCATGGATACTAGGTTAGGGCGAACACCCATCTCTTAGGTTCATGGAAAGAAATTGAAAAAAAACACCACAAGGGATGATCTTGTGACTTAACCAAGTGAAAATGGCTTCCCAAACACGTTGTCATCGCAGTCACCATTCGGAGTGAAACAGACGCCCTCGTGAGTGAGGTATTTTGGGGCAGTCGACATACCGAGTGTGTTTTTATCGCAAACTGCACGCTAGTGAAGTATGTAAACAACCACTTTATGATAGATTGCATAATGTCGGCGGCACCCGACCGCGATTTTACGACAGGCAGCAGCACAAAGTCGTGAAGTCAACCCCCCGAGCATTAAGGAGGCGCCAGCGTCCAGTGGGATCTGAAATTGACTGATTAAGCCTTAGCCTTCTAGTGGGCCCCGGTGCGGTTTTGGAAACCACACCAGGGCCGGCGACATACGCTGATAGGGCCCGACCGAAAGAGGGAGTCAGAAAATGCAGATGACGCGTAGTTCAACTAATTTATTGATGCAGTAGCGGTGGGTGTTTGTGCAGGGTAGCAGGTGCGTTTATACATCTCTGCTAAGTATCGATCTCTGAGCGCACGCAGCTACGTGAAGTGCATTCACGAGAAAATCGATTGATTTGTGTTCGCTCACGACTGGTAGCTGTGCTCGCCTGCTGCTGGCCACAAGCACAAGCTACCCACCTGCAAAACTAATCCTCTGTATGAATGAACTGGCCAATCAAAAGCAATGCGCGTACTTGATTGATCCAATCAAGGAATGCTGATGGTGCGTGAAGTGCATTCACGAAAAAATTGATTGAATCGTGCTCGCTCACGACTGCTAATTGTGTTTGCTTGCTGCTGGCCACAGCCTCAATTAGGATACAAAAGAAATTGCCAATTACTGAACCATATAGGTTGAGCATGCACAATCATTTAATAATCATTCTTGCATTCTACCATTCAACATTTGAAGGTAGTCAAACTCGAAATTAACGGGAATAATTCCAGGACATTAAAGGTGGACATGATGAAGCATCAAACATCCCCCTGTCTGTTAATAGATCACATGAGAAGAGACTGGTGATCGGTTAGTAGAAAAGGCAAATTTTTGCGGTGTTTTTATGTTGCCAGCTGTGAAAACAAGACTTATACAACAGGAGCCGAAAACGGATTGGTAATTGGTCGACGGGTAAATGCAGCATTGGGGATAATGACTAATAGGCCTGGACCAGACGACATGCAGATGCCATTGTGATGCATTCGAGATGGCGAAAATGATGCCTTCGCCATGAACTCCGGCGATACGTCAAGGTCGGACTAGAAGATTATCAGGTTTGGTCTAACCATCACCTGTGTGTTTGATGCCTCAAGCTCGATTTTAACGCATCTCCGATAGACTCGACGGTTTTCCACAGATTGATGCCACTTTGACCTATTTTTAAAGCAAATTGTGCACAATTTCGTTTTCAGCTCTCATTTTAAGGTCTATTTCAACATTTTCGACATAATTCATGTTTTTATTTTCGCAAATGCAATAAAAATTCCGAGGCGCAAAGAGGGGTTTGCGATGTTTATGATGCGGATCGCGCATGCCAGAATTGAAAAAAATAAAACGAAGTTAATTCTAGAACATGTTTACTGTACTCTGACTGATGCTGTTCTGATCGATCTACTGGTGTAAATGATGACCATTTCAAGGTCATAACTGCGGCGGATTTTTGTGTAATTGGGTAGCTTACGTTGAAACACGATCATCGACAGTCAAAAATAGCATTGGGGCAAGACTTATTTCGAAGAAATGCTGCCTTATTTAGACGATGTTAGCCACCCTCACAGATGCTTCCCTACTTGCGCAGTCATTAATTCCTGGTCAAAAACTGATGTCGCGCATTAGCCGATGATCCAGTTCCGATGTTGGACAAACTCAATGAATCATCGAGTCGGGCGAGGGATAGAAAAGGGACATTGTAGGAACTACTCCAAATTCAAGAAGAGAAAACGGGTTTTTCGCACGCGTTGTCAGTCCCTGTGTCCGTGATGGTGGATTTTAGTTTGTGTTTGGTGTAAATGCGGGGTTAACCACTTCAGACGAGTGTTGTGCGTGTAAGTTTCACACGAACCAACACCTCCACGACACCAGCCGCACCATCTGGCGCATCTGCAAGCGCTGCTGGGGATTGAAATTAAACCTCTAACTTTGGTGGTGGTCTTCGTCACATCATCAACGCGCTAGCTACCAAGACCTCCACAACGCCACTTCAAAGAGAAGCGCCGGCATCAGCTGATTTATTGGATGACGCGAAATGACCTCTCCCGTAAACGAGGCCTCGGAAATAAATGGATAGAATATGATTTACTTAACAAGGCCCCCCGCCATAAGACACCCAAATTTACTGCAATTTGGTACTTCCCCTACACAGATAGATACTGACAGAAGTTCAGAAGCATTTTCCAAATATATCGGTAATAGATTTTGAAATTAAATACGAATTGAACAACAGCAAAAACAATAAATCAATACATATATGTGCAATATCGAGTACGATTACCCCAAAGTGGACTTCATCTCCTGTCAAACTCTCTGCGATGGTGCAGCAATAACACAATTTTGCTGCCTAATCACCGAATTCCTCCCATTCAATGTCTGTGCCCATCTGCGTTCGATCAAACGCAGATCTCAATCGCAGTGACAACGGTCTCGCGATCGTGTCAAGCAACATTAATATGGCCGACACTTGTCACAATGTGATCTTCAACATGCATCTTCCATGGATTCAGTGTGACCGCATCACGCTAGTGCATGTCGATGTTGATTGACATTGGGAGAGTGCCGCTGTCCTAGGATCCATGCACCATCGATGCTGACCCGTGCATCCATCAACTCTGTAGTGGATCATCATCAGTTTACTCAGAAGGGAAATCGCCATCCACGACCCAGTCACGACTGCAAATCTGGCCTCCTCGTCGACGTGGCATGGATGTTCTGGTGTGTCACTCAGCTTTCCCATCTCGTGCCACGAACAACCAGTTTGCTATAGCACTCCTTTCAGTTGCATTTTGTTGTCCGAAACACAAGGCAGTTTTAACAGGTTACAGGTGTTCAAATTTGTGCAAAATTAATTCCTGATCGAACCTAGCCACCAGCAATCCCTTCTCCTTCTAATCCACACTGGTCCATTGCAATTGCAGAAAGATTTTTTTATGCTAGGAGACGATGCGATGCCACTGTCTCAATTCTCTGTCACTTAGGAATAACCATACGAAGCGTCAGTTTGATGAGTTTGCAGAAGTTAACACAAAATTGGCACTAATTACTACCTAACAAGAAAGGCTGCAGGTTTATTCAAAGACCGTCTAAAGTATATTTTCGCTTCACAGGAATCGCTGACCCCATTTAATGATTCACTCAACACCGCTGTGGCCAGGCATGTGTTGAATGCAGACAGTCAAACAATCCCACGGAACCATGCACAAAAACCGACCTAGGGTGGATTTTTATTGGATAAATTAAAGGTCGTTTAAATCCGGCCTTTCATTAACTAACAACTTCAACCAATCACACTTGTGGGAGAAAGGTCTCAGACATCCTAGAAATTATCCTCTTTAAG